CTGAAACAATATACTAACTACATGTAGAGAGTTAATTGCTGTATATTTACTTTTTATTTCAAATTAACGAGACCCACAATGCCCTTTGGTCTTGCAATGCACTACAGTGGAACCTCAGCGGTCACCCCTGGGGTATACCAACTCTGTAGTTTTGTTCTTTCTCTGACCCTACCCCTCCGAAATTCCAAATTTCTCTGGGGGAGGGAGAGGGGGGGTTATGAATAATTTCTGAAACTACACATCAAAATAATAAATTTTAATGTATCAAAATATTTCAATACTGTACAGTAGAGCAGAGCACAAGCAAAGCAATGAAATGCACAGTGAGAGCAGACCAAAGCAGAGACTTACCTCACAGTGAGTAGAATTTGTGTTCCATCTGTGTTCTCCAGTCTTAATGTTGTAATAAAACAAAATCTCTCCAGATTCACAAGCATATCCAAACCAATCTGACTCTGTTTCATCTGAGTCCATATMCTCTCTTTTTATATGGTCACCTGACTCCATTTGAATACTGAAATAAATATGAAAGGAACACTATTAGTACACAGTAAATATGGAGTAAAATGTCTGACTATAATCATAATTCTCAGGCTTGATGTTGAGTATGTTAGTAAAGTTGTTTGTCAGTTCTCTCCTGTGCTTCAAAGGTTTTTCTGTGGGTTATCCAATTTTTTTGCCACCTTAAAATTCAACTTTCTTACTGGTGAAGCTGAAGCATTTAGTCCCATCAAACCCAGGTGTCATTGGTGAAAGGTGATGCATTAGCAGCACACACCTCCGGTTTTAATTTGGTCATCATCCAAATCCATCAGWAGACCTCCATGGCTCTGGTGTAATGCTTTCCCTATTCAGACCWGGKKTCATTCCCTAGAGTATCATATCTTTGTTTAACAGTTGTGCTTGGTTGCACATGAGGAGACAAATGAATATGAATATGAATGACACATGATCTGAAATGGGATACCATTAAGCCCTAGGCAGAGAAAGTCTATCATAACTCATGCTGATGGCTGCAGCAGCAATACCCTGAGATCCAGAGTGTGTCACAGTAAATAGTGGAATTGTGTATCCCCCTCTTCTGTTTTTCTTTTCTTTTAAATTTTTTTTTTCTCTTTTTTTCTCCGTGTTTATTTTTCACTTCAACCTTCTAAGTTGATCACAATCTTGATTAAGGCAGAYCTCACAGGGATGAAAATAACAATTTAGTGGCTTTTTTAAATTTGGACTTCCTGTGGAAAAAGCMAGATGGCGTCTAATGTGTAAACCACCAACAAGCAACGGTTACTCGATTTTGCTTTACCAAAGTTCTCCARTACACCACACTATCGAATTGTTTGACAAGATAGAACAAGTAAAGAAGTGTATTTGTATAGAATAATGTTCTCATATCGTACTTTACTTGTATATTGWWYTTCGTGAAGGCGTCGTTTCCAAATGACTCGAGTCATCAGCACTTTTAATAATCCTACGAACAGCACTAAATACTCACTAAACAACGCAATACATCATGACTGACTCACCTGACGTATCAGTTGACCAGAAAACAATCTGTTTGTGAAGGAAAATCGACCAAAATGACAAGATATTTGCAAAAATTAAGAACCAAGCGAACTGACATTTAGCACAGTCACCAAGAAGGTGAAATGGGAGACCACTGGGAGCAATAACATATGTTTAATGATAACTAGGGTAAATTTAACGCCGTGAAAAAAWTAAAAAATACGTACTCGATGAGTATATGTGTCTACTGCTGATAGATACACGGCAGCATTTTTGAATCATGTATATGTAGAATACTCACTTGTAGGTATAAAGGACTTAATATTCTGCTTATGGAGCTGATCAGTTATCCCTTTAYAGGGCTCAAATATTGTCACTTTAAGAATCTGAATCAGTTTCACATCGCATCGTTTCCGTAACAATCGTTCATGAAGCGACATTGTTAACATGGTTCGTGTAGCACAAACACACCAATTCAGTGGTCGTTTTTTGCGATAAATTCTTTCTAGATATTGGAAATACCTGAAAGCACTTTAATTAAACAACACTTATGGCACATTCCATAAAACCTGTGTGCCTAGCTTGTTCCAAAAAAAAGAAAGAAAAAAACAAATAAAATTCACTATAAAAATTAATTGCTGCGATTCACCTTGTAGAAATCMCTGAATCCTACCAAATCATGTTTGAAACATTGGTCAAACGTTTCCCAGTCGATAAAAAGTCGTAAGCAGTCGCAAACCAGAGCAACCAAGTTGACCAGCCAGTACGCGAGACTTCGGATAACGTCGGCTATCCTCGCCATGCGCCGCTGGGTGTGCACGTGGGATCCGAAAGTAATCCGAAGTTTTACAACCCYTATACCGGGATGAACTTTATGCCAGTTATTTCGTATGTCATTTATCTTTATTTTTCGCTAGTCAAATAGGACATGAAGTATATCTGGGTAATCTCGATGGCAGTAGACACAAAAATGAAAAAACCTACTGACGTTTCAGACGCTAGTCCTTCGTCGAAGTAAGAGGCTCTTTTTGCTATTTTACTCCGACGAAGGACTAGCGTCCGAAACGTCAGTAAGTTTTTTCATCTTTTCATCTTTTCACGGTGCAAAATTTACATTTTTATCATAACTGTTTCATTAGAAACTCCGAATCAGCTCACACTAGTTTTTAGCTCGGTTATCTCTTCTTAACTTGCATTTATATATTTCTAGTCCCCAGCTCAAACGCACCGTTTAAGAAGCTCGCAAAATGAAATATCTATCCCTTTTTTGCTGTCTTTTACTTTCTCTCCCTGCTTGTTATCGTCATTACCGTATCACGTGTTATCAGGAAAAGAGTCTAGTCGCTTGCCACATAATAAGATCAAGTCGATGTCCTCACATATCAATGTAAAAAATAATTATAAAACCGTCAATGGTTTCTGATTCGAATTTCTACACTATCCCGTTACTGAACTGATATCAATAATCACCATGAGGATGATTGTTCTAACTCAGAATAAGAGTGGGGTATTGTCTTGCAGGAACTTGCAGCAAGTTCCGAGCCGGAGTGGATTCCAATAGACCTTATTCGTGGTGTGAGAATGTTTTCCCAATTCAACGTGACAAACCCCTGGTGGAATGAAGAGCTATTGCTTTGCAACTCTTCGGGATATCATCGTTATTCCTTTCGTATCCTTTGGGATACTCATGAATTTTTCTAAGAGTAAAAACAAAAGAAAATGAATCCTCAGGAGGTTTGTCACGCTGAATTGGGAACTGACATTGTCACACCATGAATAAGGTCTATCACCTCGATCTTTTATCCTGAACTTCCTTCTGCGAGCCAGACGGTCTACGTCAGAAGGTTGTTCGTCAACTGAAATCAGTACACGCCCTGAAGATCTATTCCAGACTAGGACAGCTCACATTATTTTTGACATATCTACGCGAAGGGGAAGAAAAATAAAACAAGACCCTGGAGGAAGGAACAGTTTACTGAGTTTGGGAGTTCAGTAAGAATATAAAAGCAAATTGAAGTCAAAAAAGTTACAAAAATTCAAAAGCAGTGATAGAGCTACTATAGGCCCTTTGCAGCTAAGCAATCACGTGCTGATTAATTCACTGAGAGCAATGAATGAACATCCTGATTCCCACGGGAGAAATTTACTGGACTGCAAACAAACTTTCTACAACCTGTTTCGAGAGATCGTAATAAAACTGCATTTCGTAACACACTGGATACACATGTTTTCATTCAGTTCTTTACAAGTAGCTAAAAAGAATCACCAATTTAAAAAAAAAAATTGCATTCCAGTAAAGACACGTGACCGTTAACTGCAAAAGGCCTATTGCACAGTGAAAGGCATTTTGGGGGAGGGATTGAAACGTTTATGCCATAATTTCTTTACAAAATCCATTTCTTAAGTAAGGTCAATGCTTAGCGTGCGTAAATCTATTGATGGTGCACGCGGATAGTTGCGGGTAGAGCACGATGCTAGCGTAAGAGCAACTCTAGCTACCAGAAAGAACAACTTTACACGAAAGAACAACTAACAACTTTACACGATAAAAACTGTTTATTTCGCTCTGATCAAATCACAGATTCTCCTAAGATGCGAGCACGATACTTTAAGATCCAAGTTGAAATAAGTCAAGTCTCGTGTTCGGATCAAAAACAGCTAAATTTGTATTTTAAACTTCATTTTTCAAAACTTTTTCCGAAAATTCATGCAAGGGAAGCAGTTCCTAATTGTATTCTTAAACGTTTTCATTCACAAGAAAGTTAATTTGATTGAGGAGAAGTCGATTTAGTGATTTYCGTTGGCGCTTGGCTGCATCACAAACTATCTAAACATATTAATTTTTTTGAAAACTGAGTCGAAAGAATGCATCAGTGGCTTTACTTGGACTCCAGTAACCATCGTGGTGTTTTGCTGGACTGCTGTGGTGACCTGTACGGCGGATTCAGCAAGAAAAACTGAGCTAATTGACTTCTCAACTGCAAGACTTCTTGATTTCGCAGTAGTGAGCTGGCCGGTGGAAGGGCGAGTCTTTTAGTGAGCCAAACTTGAGCTCAAACAAATACGCTATAAACTTTTTATTGAAAGGAAATCAATTGTTATATTTTACCTTTAGTAAATGTACAGAAAGGTAACCAGTTAGTAGTCTCTTTAGTTTTATGTGAATGCTAGCAATTTTCACCGAATTTTCACCAAATTGACGTCACCAGCGTGCTCCATACGAGTGCTCCATACATTTTTTCTTCATATAATAGGTGGTGAGCCAATCAGAGCGCGCGTCATATCTTAGTTATGTTATAAAAGTCCAATTGAACATAGAAACTTAATAAAGAATTTTCATATTTTCTTTGCCACCTTTGTTTCGCTCCGGTATAGTGTGACCGTGGATTGGAACCAACGCTCGACTTGCATAAAATAGTCGAAATACAAACATTCAAATGGCTTTTCACCGGTGTGTTCGAAGGTGATTGTTCATAT